CATCGATGGCCCTCAAAAGGCTTCACGCCAGTTTTCGAATCATTCTAAAGTAGAACGCATGATGATAATACGACACGGGCACCTCGATGCGATGCATCTTTTTTTATTACAAAATGCTTGGCCGTCGAAAAGCAATCGAACGAAATGGATACCAGCCAAATCGACACAGACCAACCCAATACCCACGGGTCTAAAATAACCCTTCTTCGCGTTGCGGAGCACGCGGGTAACCCTAGTTCTTACTAAATCGAAATTGTGTTGCACATAGTACTAATAGCTCATACGAACATTCTGGATTTCATACCTGGCAGAAATGGATTGCTGGATTATTTTTAACAAAACTGACCTATTTGGCTTCCAGGTTTGATTTCCTAACATCTGTCCATAGGCGGCAGAACAGGGGGGGGGGGTGGCACCAGGGTACAGTGCCCCCCATAGATTTTGGCATTTTAACATTAGCCCTACTCAGCGTTGCATGGAAAGAATGGGACCAAAATGAAAATCTGCTGGGCCCTGCTGCCACTGCATCCGTCTGTACTGTTTGTTCATTGAATTTAAGTGGCTGTAGCTTGTTGATAAGATTGTCATCAGTGCTGTCATGAGAAAGTTACAATTGGTCACAAAAAGTAGCAATATGCATGTTCTTGGTTTATTTTAAATGTAGTACAAATGTTGTTTATTTAAATTCAAATTTAACCCGCGCGGGGCTGGGGGGGGGGTAAATTTTACCCCCCCTCGCGAATTTTTGCGATATCTCAAAAACGGCGGCGCGCAGCGCCGCCAAACTTTCAGTACCTTTTATTACATCAATTTGACACGTTCCCTGAAAATTTGAGCAAAATCCGTCGGAAAATTTTTGAGAAATTGACGTTTTAGTGACGTCATGTTCGCCATTTTCGCCTCAAAAACGGCAAAAGTTCAAACGCCGCTAACATCTTCATTTTTAAAGGAATCAAGACGTAACAAAAAAGGTTATACGTAATTTTACTTTGTCTATCAAATGGCTATCTCGGTTTTTTGAAAATTTTGGATTTTGGCCTAATTTTTTTCAAAAAACTGACTTTTTTGGGAAAATCATTATAAAATCCAAAATTTTGAGTCTATCGAAAAAACCGGAATATATGTCAGAGAAGTGGTCTATGTGCACCTACATACCAAATTTTAGAAGAACCGGTTCAAAAATGTGGGAGTTATTCAAAATTTTATGACGTCACGACACACAAATTTTTTGAAAAATGACTTTTTTGGAAGTTCTAGACCTCGTACGGAAACAAAAATAGCACCATTCGATTCACCGTGAAAAACTGCATCAGATAGACACCTTTTTAGGCCTTAACAACCAACTTCAAAATTTGACCTCACTTGACCTGACCTTGACCTGACCTCGACCTGAAATTCATCCAGAGGTGGTCCATATCACTTATTGAGTGTGCCTATTGAATTCTATGAGTAAAATGACCCATAAAACATGTGTCGCACATGCCCTTTTCTATATTTTGTTCTTTGGTGACCTGACCTGACCTGACCTGACCTTGACCTTGAACTCTGAATGATATTGTATGCAACGAATATTGTCTTGGTAGCCTAAGAACACGTTTTGGGCGATCAGTCTCAGTCCATGACTCCTTTCTTCGGCAACTACGGTGCAAGGCCGATACTGTAGAAACTTGCAATTTGTACCCTTGACCTGACCTTGACCTTGACCTCAAACTTTAAATTAAGTACATGTTTTTAGTAGTTCATGATGAGAGCTTTCGATTGGCGTTTGAATTTTCCAAATCGGACCATTAGTTCGGGAGATAACAGGGGGGTAAAATTTACCCCCCCCCCCAGCCCCGCGCGTTCGGCTGGAGACCCCAGCCCCGCGCGGGTTAATGATGATACCTAATGATTACAAGTGGTCTTAACCAATAACCATGTCCACAAGTGATAATTCTCAATTGTATTGCACTGTAAGGTGTACAATCATGTAGGATAAGGGTTTCATTGGCTACATGTTGTCGTGAGATCCATGCAGATCATAGGTCCTCCACAAATTTTTGCCCGCTGGATCCACAGAGATCATAGATCCTACCCCTAAATTTTGTCGAGAGATCCATTCGGATCATAGATCCAACCCCTGAATTTTGTCGAGAGATCCACTCGGATCATAGATCCAACCCCTCTATTTTGTCGAGAGATCCACTGAGATCATAGATCCAGCTCTCGGATCCAAGCACATGTCTGGAATCTACCCTACAAAAATTACCGCATGTAAATCGGTCAAGTGGTTGCTGAGATATAAGCGTCGCAAAATCGTGACCACGGGCCGGCCGGCCGGCCGCTCATACTCAGGAATCTCCGTTAATCTAAGGAAAGACCACGCTCGCTTCGCTCGCTCCGTAATCAGGCGAAATTTGACCTTTGATGACCTCTGGTGACCTGACCTTTGACCTAACCTATAAAATGAACGAGATTTCGTCATGATTTTTGACGCTCTTTCAAACGTTGCGTGTCGCCACGTGGCCCAGGAGCTGAGCTAGGAGGGGGGGGGGGGTGGTTCACTTCAAACACCCCCTTCCAGCAGGGCGTGGAAATCCAGGACCCTCAGCGGGGCGCGGGCCAATTTCCATTCATTTCCGACGCTAATTTCTTACGACGTTTAATGGAAGGAGGCTTAGACGAAACGAGTTGGTAGGTGCCTCGATCGCTGTATTTTTACGTGCGTGATATTTGAAAACTAAAGCGGCTTATAATGCCTGGTCTGTTTTCTGTCATTTATTCGCCGAACGCTGCATTATGCGCGTGCATGCTCGGGTTTCTATCGATCCGGGCCGTTGCCATGGTAACATCTGTGATGTTTTGTTACTATGGCAATCTGCTCACAGAGCCGGAAATGGTCCGCTAATATAGCATGTAATGGAAGCGCGCCTGCCGGCTCACCGGCCCACCTTTGCTCAGGAGGTATTTAGCGTGGCCGTTATATAAGCACAGCCTGCAGATCATACGTCTGACCATGTAATATAGGTATAATAGAAATATAATAATTTCTGATCGTAGAAATTATCCGTCTGCTTTACAGATGGACTGAACTTAAGCACATTAGGTGTAACGTCCATTAGATAAACGGTCTATATGCGTCCAGCCGTCCACCCACGGACGTGTAACCTGCCCGTTATGAAAATGGACCGGGCGTCGCCCATCCCGTTTAACAGCATAGGTGTCGATTTGTATACTTTTGGGTGTGCCCGGGCACCCCCAATGCTGAGTTGGGCACACCCCAAAGGGCTCTGGGCACCCCCAACCAAAGTTGGTACTTGCATCACTGTTACGATTCTTTGAACGCATTGTTTTCTGTAATTCATAGGCGCGGGAACGGGGGGGGGGGGCAGTGGGGACAGTTTACCCCTCCCTCCCCAACTCTGGGGCCGTGGGGGCGGTGCCCCCACAGCTTTAAGACGGAATATCGCACTTTTTTGCAAATGTTTTCTTTTTTGATGAAAACGCCAAGGGATGAAAAATAGGTGGCCTAAAATCGGCGAGAAACCTAGGTTTCGGGGTACCCTAGGTTGATTTCAATTATGGTGATTTCAATTCTACATTCAAGGTCAGCGGGGGGTCGGCTGCTGTTATGGAACGTGATTGGCCGGACGGCGTAGAATCTTTGCCGTCCGAAAGACATCGAACGCGGGGTAATACTCCACCGCTCGAGGCAGACATAGCGGCCAGAAAAACGAACATCTCACCTCAAGACGGGGACGAAAGTCCGACATCTATCATCAGTGTCAATGGACGGAAATTAAAATGCGTTTTTTTCTGGACGGACACCATTCTGAACACTTCCATACACCTATTAACAATTCAACACGGCACTGGAAAATAACACCCGACGTGAAAATGACGTGACCCTTCCTGATATCCCTGAGGTCATCTCAGGTCACAAAAGGGAGCCTAACAGTTTTTCGTTATAACTTCTGGTAGGCGCATGCGAGCGATGATCGACTGAACGGACCGACTGACATGCAACATAACCTTTTCCGGTCAGGTCTTAACCTTGACCAGGGGTCAAATTTCAAAATGAAATTTCAAGGTCAAACTATAGTTAATTCGGCGCGTCTTGATAAGAAGAACATGATGGCTGGCGCCTGGCAAAATAAATGTCATGACTTTAACAGTAAGGGATAAATGTAGATAAACGGAGAGAAAGCCCGCCTCCAAAAATATAACGTGTTTGTTATTCAGGAAGCTGGAGCAATAAGCATGAAGTTTGTATTGTAACCGTTGTAAAAAGAAATCCTTTGTGCTATGCTGGAGATGTAACATTACCCTTATAACAAGGTTGTTTATCATATGTTTGAGATATAACTTGTCCGTTATTAAAAGGTCGTGTATCCTGGTGGAAGTGTAGCCGGGCAATATAAAAAAAATGACATGCATCCTATCTTGGAGGTGTAACGTGTCACTATTTGAGCACACTCGGCTCAGTGGATGCGAGCGTAACTTGTCCGGTAGATGAACTCGGTATCGCTGATAGATTATCTCTGAGATAACCCATGTCCTGTTAGGGGGAGGTGTTTGAATATCTTCGATAATTTCGCAAATATAAAAAATTGGCGCGCCTTACCACCTACCTTTTCCGCGCAAACTGTGTATGTGCAGTGCGTCAAGTAAATATGTTCTTGATTATTTTGACGACCTCATTACATACGCCGCCTATCTGGCGTCGCGGCTATAACACGGCGCAATATTGTTAATTGCCGTAAATAAGATTTTGCGGCACTGATTGACAGTTATAACACCGTGAATACGAAAGTACGGCATTTATAGGACTGAGCTCCGGAGCCGAGTTAGACGGGGGCTCAGCCCCCTCCCGAGGCGGTGTGTGGTAATCCAGGCGCCCCGGCGGGCTGTGGCACTGCGCCGGGCCGCAGACCTGTGTGCTGGGTGCTGAGGCGGTGCGGTGCTCTCCTGTCTCAGCCGTGCCTCCCTCGCTGACCTTCTCCCCTCGTCTCTGTCGGCAGGCGTTCACCTTATACGAGGAGGAGATATCGGATAGTAAGGCGCAGCTGGCAGCCATCACCCTCATCATCGGCACGCTCAAACAGGTCAGTTACAGGCGTATCGACAGTGCTCGCACAGGTCAGTCACATATCGACACTGCACGCCGCTCAAACAGGTCAGTTGTGGTCATATCGACACTGCAACGTCCTTCTTGACACTCAAGGGCACTGTCATGTTTCTTTTTATCTTGTAACTATTTTATCCCTTTTCCTGGTTCTTTTTCTCTTTTATTTTCGTTTCTCTTTTTCTATTCTCTTTTTCCATATTATGTTCTTTTTATCTTCTACATTCTATCCTCTGGTTTCACTCCTTTTGCTTTTCTCTTTTTATTCTATCCTTGCCTTCCCTTTTCCGTCCTCTTTCCTCGACTCCTCCTTTTCTGCCATCTTCTCCATAGGCTCATTTGTAATTGTTATCTTTGTGACCCGGACACCATGAAGCCGTGTCTGGCCCCAGGTACAGAGCTCCCCAGCCGCCGCACTGGTTCAGTCTGGCCGGTATGCTAGGATGCAGATGTGACATCACAAGTTGGTGCCTGGCTCATTTCAACTGGCGAAGATTCCGCTATTCCCATTATATTGGAGTGTTAGGGTGCGGTGCTCTCTCTAGCTGTGACTGGTGATGCGTGTTTCGGGTCCCATAGTCAGCTCACTGCCACAACTAGCGACTGGCGTCTTACAAGGGGTCTCGTGGGTAGACAGTAGACATCCAGGCCGAACGGTCCCGAGGCTGGGCCCGAGACCGAGCCAGAGCCCGTCACCTGCGGTATGGTTGTCCGGGCGGCTGGTGCTGCCGGCGCTGCACCTCGGAGTTGTTGCTGCGGTGGGTAGTGGCTGGCGGCGCCGACAATGCACCTTTGGCCTGGTGGTGTGGTGCTGGTCGCTAGTGCTGACCTTGTTAGTTACGTGCAATATTGGAGAGCTGTCGCCACACCTTCCCTGGACACCAAGCACCTTGCCGACACCTCATACCATTCCAGCCTTTGATTTCAATCCACCGTCAGTCTTCGGAAGGGATTCGGGGCCCCACGCACCATTGGCAGTATGAAATAAAGCACCATTCGGCCGTACCGGCAACAACAGAGGGAGGGGCGCGCGTCACCGGCAGCTCGGCCGGGCTGACGGTGCCCGGTAACGGTTGCCGTTGATACGGCGTGGTGCCGGTCGCCGGAGAGCAGGGGCGCCGGTCGGGAGCGGCGCCATGCCCTGATGAGACGAACCGAGCTGGCCACCGAGCGTGGCTCGCCGCAGCGCCACTCATTACCGAGTAAATGACAAACGGCACCGGCCGGTGTCCGGTGGCCGGCCGCCGACCGGGCGCTCAGAGGGACCCGCCGCGCCGGCAGCACGCCGCGGCCGACCGGGCTATCAGAGGGACCCGCCGCGCCGGCAGCACGCCGCGGCCGACCGGGCTATCAGAGGGACCCGCCGCGCCGGCAGCACACAGCGGCCGACCGCTGCTGGCATGGGTGGAGAATTGACTTCAAAGTTGGTATGGCGCCAGCTGCTTCAAACAATGCTTTACAACAGAAACGTTGACACATAAGGAAAATCTGGGCACATAAATACTAAGCATAACAGTGCATCTTCTATGCATCTACAATCCAAGACTGTTTCATATACCTACCTATGCGTCAAAATTGAGATGAAATATTGTGAATGATAAAGAAGAAAATGTCAAAACGCATTGAGGTCGTGCATCCTTAATTAAATCAATTACAGTGAATTACTTGTCTTGTTCCCTGAAACTCCCTGATCATGTCAAAGCATTTTTACCTCATATTTTGAATTTCTACAAGCTGTAATCCTAAGGTTTCATAGGTTTTACCCTGAAAAGTTGTTATGGCATTGCCATACCATTTTTTGAAGTTGGTGTGGCACATGCCATACCTGCCACACCACATTCTCCACCCATGGCTGCTGGATGGGCTGTGGGGATAATACGTGTAAGACGTGCCTGTGCGGCAGGCTCTACTCCCCTTGTGTGTGGGTGGTAGGATCTGGTCATCACCCAGCAGCCACAAATGAAGCTGGATTCTGATCTGTTCCACCACGAGCAGATTCCCACTTTTCCTTGCCGTCTGATTGAGCAGCAGGGTCTTCTCTTCCACAGTCTGATGTATTGCATAACTGTTGTATATATCTGGGATCATTTTCCTTTGTGTGCGCCTCTGGGCTGAAGCCGGCGGACGGCGGGTGTCATGGATACGGCGGACAAACACACCTCTGTGCCACGGATGACGTCCGCCCGAGCCGCGGCCGCGGCCGACCGGCGGTTTTGGCGCTTCTGCCGCTAATAGCCGCGGGGGACAGCGGTGGCGGCTCCCGGACCTGGGGGTAATAGCTCGCAGTGTTGCCCGCGCGTGCCTGCCCGGGCTGACCTGTCGCCGTGCGTCCGCGGGTGTGGGCGCACCGGTCGGCGCGGCGGGGTGACGTCGGCCGTAAGCCGGCAGGCCGAGAGCGCCGATCAGCCCCGCGGCATTATCGTCTGTCGGAGCTAATGCCGCGTGTCGGACCGCACCGGTAATCGGTGCCACCGAGCTGTGGGAGCGAGTCGGGAGGGGCAGGTGTGTGCGCGGGGGAGGGGTAATACTCTCTCGAATCTTCCGTCCTGAAATCTGCGACAACTCGGGCGTGCACATCAACAATGCGCACACGGCTTCGGCTCCAGTTTCCGGTATTTGGAGTAATTAACTCCGACATTACCTTCCCTAGTGAACAGTGATATCGAGGGACGAAGTCCCGATCACCCTCGGAAAATTGTCTGCCTGCCTGAGGGTTCTCGTTGAAAACGGAACTGCCTGACGACGCTATGAATGTTCAGCAAATATGGTTCACAAACAGAATTGTAGCGTCAAAACCTACCCCAAGCATACTTTTTGAACAGTGTTGCCTAAGTTCCAGGCAGCTTCCGCAAAATTCGTGCTAAACATCTACAACCCCGAATCAAGATATGCTGTTAGCGGATTGGGTTCAATCCGAAGACGGTTTTTCTTCCTTCAGGATAACAGGGAGCCCAGTTATGCCCATTTTGAAAAGCTAACAAACCTGGTGCGTGCGCGCGTGTTCTGACGTTTGCTGTGTGCGGCTGCAGATGTCGTGTTTCGGCGAGGAGAACCACGCACCGCTGCGCACCCAGTGTGCGCTGGCCGCCAGCAAACTGCTGAAAAAGCCCGACCAGTGCCGCGGCATCACCACGTGCGCGCACCTCTTCTGGTCGGGCCTGCAGCAGGACGGCACGGAGGTGAGACCGCAGGACGGACGGGGTGCATGCGGGGCGGGGTGCCTGCGGAGGGACCTCAGATGGGAACCGGTGGGTGTGTGCTGTCTTGGGGGAGGCTAGAGTGCAACAGCAGAGATATATATCCGCAAAGGGAACTCTGGTGAGACTTGCAGGCAGATGTGAGTTTTGGTGCCTTAGATCACGATGTGGTAAGTTTTAGCCATAGCACGTCTCACAGTAAATGCTGATTAAACGTAACGTGTTGCTATAAACTATAAGTTGCCACAGATGTCGGGAACTTCCTCACTGCTTACTTGCGTTAGTCCTTTTCGATAAAAAGAAACGAACAAAGTCGGTGTGATCGCACCCATTGACCATGCGTCCTTGACAGTTTCATACCCGCCCCAACTGAAACTGCTTCTCATACCCGCCATTTGCATACCGCTCCTTCGCCTTGTACGACGGACCCCCTTCCTAACCGCGCTGACCGGCCCGCCCGGCCCTGGCCCAGCTGCGGGACGGGAAGCGGGTGCTCGAGTGTCTGAAGAAGGGACTGCGCGTGGCTAGCCAGTGCATGGACCCGTCGGTCCAGTGCCAGCTCATGGTCGAGCTGCTCAACTCCTACTTCTACTTCTACGCGCAGGGAAACCAAGAGGTAAGCGAGTCATCTCACTTCGTTTGAGATCAACATTATTCCGCTGACATGACAAGCCTCGGTTTACACTCATGTGCAGTTGGTCATGTAAATATGGACCATACTTAACAGCTTTGTTTTCTCGTGAACTATTTCCTTCTATCGGTAATTGACTTTTTCGTTCATATGCTGGGAAGCATATGATCACGACATTTGTCGTGTGTCCTGTGAAGTTCTCGCTCTGTATCGTGCAGTTTCTCTCCCCTGTGTCCGTCCTGTCTCCGCCTGTGGCCGGACCGCTGAGCGCTGTGTCCGTCTCAGATCACGGTGGACATGGTGAACCAGCTGTTGGACAAGATCCGCGAGGACCTACCCAGTCTGGAGCCGTCCGACGAGACGGCCCAGATCAGCCAGCACTTCGCCAACACGCTGCAACACATCCGCGCCAAGGCCGCTGCCGAGACGGCCGTCTCCTTCGAGGGACTCGCCATCGAGTGAGGCGGTCGGGGCGGCCGGGACACGCCGCCAGCGTCCGAGACGCTCCGCCAGCGGCCGGGGCGCGCCCCCAGCGGCCGGGACGTGCCCCCAGCGGCCGCGCGCGGAGTCCGCTCGCTGGACTGGTGCAATGGTCGCCGCCCGGCAGTGCGTGGAGACCGGGGTCTTTTGACTGTGTCCGCGATCTGTGCCGGTTAGTTACGAGTGCGGGCGAGGTCAGCTGTGATGGACCAATGGGCTTCTTGTGGTATTAACAGTGCCCGTGACGAAATACGTGCGGTAGTGATGTCGGTAATGTGCTATGAAATATTTCAGCTTTATTGTTATCTGCATGGTCTACGTGGGAATGTTTTCTTCTGTTTTGGCATTTTATTTCATCGGTGCCTAAGGCATAGTAATGCATATGTAAGTTTGAAGGCGATAGCCTTTATTGTTGGCTTGAGTTTGCGAATGCGTGAAACTCTGCATGAGTTGCGTTGGTTGTGTTGGTTTAGTGACACGGCTGCACTATTTCCATTCCGGTGAAATACTGCTCTAGCCCCGGCGCTACGCGATATATTTGGTGATACTTATATTACAATATACACGATGCATGTCCAAGTACACTCATTGCGTTTCGTTTGGCCAGCGAAGGCACTTTATTGAGCAGAACGGTAGGAGGAGGCGCCAGGCGGCCCGCACTGCCCGCTCCTGTTGGCACTGGTCGGTCCGCGGCCGCTGTGCTGCGGAGCAGGCTGAGAGAGGCGCCGTCAACAGCCCCTTGTGACGGCCGGCGGATACTGGAGAAAACATCAGATGGCACAGGTCCCACGGTAACTTGAGCCGGGAACGCGGGGTGCGGCAGTAATTATGGCAACATTCCTGAGATGGCTATCTCCACAGAAGTTTCTACAGATTCTTGAGCCCTCCGTGCAGAGTACTGAGTAAGCAAACGATCAACGATATAACTGATACTTTCGTTGCGAGGTAGTCGATAACTACATATTCCTGAGCTTTCCCTGCAAAGATTTCTAATAATTCGCCGGGTTCCTGAGCACACCATACATTCGCAGGTATTTGATAAGTATGCGTAATCCTGAGATTCCAGAGATTCCCGAGATGCCCTGAAGAGCTAGATCATATAATTAACTCATTCATGGAACGTGAGTGATATTGTCGGCTGGCTATGAAGCCAACCATACCTATCACTACAATTTCCTACGGAGGCTGCCAGTAATGACAATGTTTCGTGAGCATTCTCGCAGAGACATCCAACAAGTCATTAATAAGTATGCCTTTCCTGAAGAAGAAACTGTTTTATATCACCGATTCCTGATCCCTCCATGAGCCAAGTACGCTGCGTAGACGGCACTCTGGACGTTTGGTCCTACTAATGCGGCTGACCCATCCTCACTGGACGTCCTCCTGCTGTGGGCCCTCAGCGGACGTCCTACTGTCAGTCATCAGTGGACGTCTCGCTATAACGATCTTCGGTGGACGTCCATCTGCGCCCAGTGAACGTCCATCTGCGCTCAGTGGACGTCCATCTGGGCTCAGTGGACGTCCATCTGGGCTCAGTGGACGTCCATCTGGGCTCAGTGGACGTCCATCTGGGCGCGGCGGACAGCGGCGCTGGAGAGTCGCAGCCGGTCGGTGCGGTCGCTGGAGCGGCTGCGGTGCAGACCGGGCGGCCAGCGGCCCAGACGCGCCTGTCGCGCCGACCGCCGGCCGCCCCAGATGGTCGCCTCGCCGTGCTCGTGGACAGCGAAGGCGCTCAGCTCGGCGTACGGAGAGCCGATCACCAGGATGGGGTTGCCGCGGTACCAGAAGCGCCAGAGGCCGCGGTGGTCGCCGCGCACGTCCAGGTCCCAGAGGTTCAGGCAGGTGGACACCTTCTGCCAGGCCTGCACGTCCTGCGCGTTCTCCATCACGATGAAGATGACGTAGGTGTGGTTGGTGGGCTCTGGCGGCAGCACGCCATCGCAGCTGCTCTCGTTGTTGTAGGTCCTGCCGTCGATCATGCGGGCGTGTTTGATCTCCTCCATGAGCTGCGCCTCGTACCGGTGGTAGATCATGTCGTCCACGTTACGCAGCTGGACGTCCGGGTCGCGGTTCAGCGCGTGGTCGTAGTACATCTTGAACTGCATGCCCGAGTTGACGTGCTGTCCTATGAAGCCGAAGTGGTAGGTGCGCGACACGTCGGGGATGACGCAGTCGCGGCCGCGTCGGAACTGGTCCAGCCGCAGCAGCACGTCCCAGTCGTACTCGCTCCAGGCGGGCGGCCAGCGCGGCAGCACCTCCTCCAGGAAGAAGGAGCGCTTCAGCATCCAGCCGAGGCCGGGCAGGAAGCCGACGCGGTACAGCTGCGACGGGTCGCCCACCGTGTGCTCGTAGCCGTGGTCGTTCCAGGCCGAGACGCAGTAGAGGCTCGGGTCGACGTCCAGCAGGTGGTGCGTCTGGTCGAAGAAGCTGACGAAGTCGGGGGACACCTCGAGGTCCTCCTCCAGCAGCACCAGCTTGTCGGCCTCGGGGAACATCTGGAGCGCCCGCTGCACCGTGTACCGGTAGATGGCGCCGATCCGCGAGCCGGCGTTGCTGGTGGGCAGCTCCACCTGGTGCTGGTGCAGCGGCACGTCCAGCAGATCCAGCAGCTGACGCACCTCCTCGTAGTCGCCGTCCACGAACACGACCACGCGCTGCCGGTCCAGGCCGCGGTTGGCCAGCAGCGAGGCCAGACAGCGGAACAGGTACTTGGGCCGATTACTGGCCACGATGACGATCGGGTACGGGAACAGGCCGCCGCCGGGCAGCGGGCGCGGCTGTGGGCGCAGCCACGCCGGCGAGCCGCAGTCGCACAGGCCCCTGTAGCCGTCGTGGAGCTCGCAGAAGCGGGCGCGCTGTCCGCGGAGGCAGCCGGCGGTGGCGGGCGGCCGGGGCGCGCGCGCCGTCATCCGGAGGTCGCCCGGCGGAGAGAACAGCACGGCGTCCAGGTTGAGCACGTATCCCTCGGCGAGCACCGGGCCGCCGCGCACCAGCACCATGCCGAACAGCGACCGGTACTGCAGGTCGGGCGCGTAGCTGGAGTTGAGCGCGCGCAGCAGCGCCACGGCCGGCCGGTCCAGCGACAGCGAGGCCTCGGCCAGCACGCAGAGCACCAGCAGCCGGCCCGGCTGCACGCTCCTCACAAACTCCTCCATGGCGGCGAACGCGGCGTTGGGCTCGTCTCCGCGCGCGTACGCCTCGCCGGTCTTGACGCCGGTGGAGGGATGCAGCGACACCACGTACATGCCGTTCAGCGTGTGGTCCCACATGGCCGTGTCCGTCTGCGCCGAGGGTGGGTCCTGCTTCTGGCGGTAGAGCACGGTGCGCCCGTCCACCCGCACGTGGCACGAGCTCGGGCTGGAGAGCACCTCGATGAAGAGGTCCGGGTCGGCCGCGGTGCCCTCCAGCTCTGCCAGCAGTGCCGCGTCCTCGCTCGTTGTCGGGGCGGCCGGCGGCGCGCCATTGGACAGCGCGACCAGCGACAGAAGGACGGCGCAACCGGCCCAGCACGGCCTTATACTGACCGCACCTGAAACAGGGGGAAATGTGTCTTACTAAAGCGTGCGACCCAACAGTCGGAACCCAAAAGCATGCAGCACATTCCACACTGAAAGGCCAGACACCGCCTGTTAACGCTTTACGCATCCTGTCATCCTTATCTAAGGCTTAACCCTCGCCGGACCTATTGGTTTTCTACATACGCGCCGGCCGAGGGGGGGGGGGGCGGGTACGACCCCCCTCGCCGTTTCGCCCCTGGTGGAGCTAGCGCGTCGCGGAAAAAACGAGCGTGTGCGCCGTTACGAGACGCAGAGATTGGTATCCGATTTTAAGGTCCTAGGTCAACCGGTGACCTCTGAGGTCAGGTCAAGTGCCCCAGGGTACGGTTCAGTTTTTGCTGAATAACTTCGCAAAAACGGTCGCAGAGCCGCGATTTTGGCAGCGTCGTGTTCGCCTCGCTCAGGCGCGTCGAATGATATACTTTTTGTCCGGGTCAGGTCAACTTGGGGTGTTGACCTCAGGTCAAGGTCAGGTCAGCACCCCCAGGTCACGAAGTTGGTCGAAAGAGGTCATGTCGCATATCATTCGATTCGGCAGGTCTTCCTGAGTCCATTGGTGACTTTCTCGACTCGCTAGCTCAATTTGATCAAGAGTTATTGACGAAAAACTAATATGACCTTGATGACGTCATAAATGACGTCACGCAAGGTCGACATTGCAAAAGTGACGCATCTAACCTTGCAAGGAGTGCATCAAATCACGATTCTGTGTGCTTGAGATAGTTGGAGATCGTTCCCGGCGCCAGAATAGCAGTTTTCATTTTTCCCCATTGACTTATAATGGTGAGGTCACGAAAATGACCTGACCTCATATGACCTTTAGGAAAAATCCGAGATATACAAGTTGTGAGACTCATAATGGATACTAGATCCTGCAAGTTTCATTTCCCTGTGACATCTCCTCTGGCAGTGAGGGCGTTGCGAAGTTGCGACATCTGAAGACCGTGCAGAGGTTCACTTATGACGTCATAGGTCAGTGACCTGACCTGACCCAAAAATGCGGTTGGTGTCAAAAGATGCGGCTTGGATCAAAGGTCAGGTATGCCAAGTTTCAGCTCTCTATCGCCAGCGTGTTCGGAGCTATCGCGAAAAAAACCCTATGGGGGGCGGCACCCGCCCCCCCCTCGGCCGGCGAGGGTTAAAAATGATGAAACGGCGCTACCTGCCACCCTTTTTTCTCCTCACAATTTATGATGTAACTGTTCCTCACATTTTGTGAAGGCATTAAATTCAAGTCGTTCGAGGTCAGGTCACCGGGTCAAGTCAACTGTCCTAACCTCGAGAAAAAAATACGTGATCGCCATAGCTGCACCGCCTTAACTTTCAACGGTTGATATGGGAACATGATAAATGAAACTTCTATTTCTGATTAATCATACCGACGACGATTGATCTGATCATTAAGGTCAGGTCAATTTTCAACTTCTTTATCTTAAATCAACCGTGGTTTCCGCATGCGATAGGATGAGCGATAAACGATAAACGATGACTATCGTTGTTAAGTAAATAGGTTATCTTATCGTTTATCGCTAAATTTTCAGAATTATCGCTCATCCACTTATCGCAAGTTACAAAAATGATGAACGATAAAAGATAAAATGTAAAACGGGATTATGTAAAAATGGAAGACGATCGACAGTGTAAGCCGCGCGACAGTATGTGCCCGCAACCTGTTGTTGCCATCTGCTAAGTGTATAGATCTGCAAATAAACTTAAAGTACACTTATTTAAGCTGTATTCCTGATCGCTTTTGTTATCGCTGTTAAAGAACAATTATCGTTATCGTTGTATCGTTTATCGTTTCGTTAGCGCCGTTAAAAACAATTATCGTTATCGTTTTATCGTTTATCGTTTTGTTATCGTTGTTAAAAAAAAAAACATTTATCGTTATCGTTTTATCCGCTATCGCTGTTAATTTTTTGAAAAAATGTTATCGTTTAATCGTTTTATCGCTATCGCTGTTAACTTTTTGAAAAATGTTATCGTTTATCGTTATCGCAAACCTTTCTTATCGTTTTATCGTTATC